CGGCAACTGAGGAGGCTGAGGCGGCGGCGGAGGCTGCTGCTGCTGCTGCTGCTGCTGGAAGGACTTGAGGGACTCGAAAGCCTTCATTAGCTTTTCCAGGGTGGCCATGGCGGCCTCCCGTCCGGGCCGGGTAACCCCCGGAGCCCTAGGCCCGACTCGCGGCGACGCGGCTCCGCTCAGCAACCGGGCAATGAATGGGGCTCAGGGCCGCAAGCAGAAGCGGAACCAAGGCGCTCGGCCATCTTAGAACTGTCCCGGCAGCCCCCGCGACGCCCTACGTGCTGCGTCGCTCCCCGGCGAAGGCGGGGCCAGGCCGGGCACGCAGCCCCGAGCGCAGCGGCCGCCACACCCAGCGCCGCTCGCAGCCCCGGCGCGTGCGGGGCGTGCAGGGAATGGGCGTGGACAGGGCGGGGCGAGGTGGGCCTGGGGAGATGGATGAGAGGAGGCCGGGAGCAATAGGAGGTGAAGGAAGATAAGTGGGGGGGCAGGGAATAGAAGAGAGAGGCGGAGCCTCGCAAAAAAGGTGGGAAAGATCAGGGCAGAGATGAATGTGGGGAGGCGGGGCGGAGCCAGGAGGGGGCGGGGGGGGGCGCAGCCTGGAGGGCAGAGGGATGGTGGGCGGGGCGAGCCGGGAGGGGCGGGGCAGGGCGCGGCCTGGAAGGCAGAAGGGTTGTGGGAGGGGCTAGCCAAGAGGGGCGGGGCTAGCCGGGAGGGATGGGGGACCCCACTGCCATCCAGTGGATTCCAGCTCATAGCCCCCCTATGTTGTTGTTAGCACACCATAGGACAGAGTGAAAATGCCTGGTAGGATTTGCACGTCTGTACATCTATATGGAAATAGCCTACTCCATCTTTCTCCCACGGAGTGGCTGATGGATTCAAACCCCCAAACTTGTGGTTAGGAGCCAAGTGCTTTAACCACTGCGCCAAGAATGGAAAAGGAGCCTACAAACCAGCAGCTTGGTTAGCGCCTGCCCTGGAGCACTCAGGCCACCCGCCTGCCCTGGAGCACTCAGGCCACCCGCCTGCCCTGGAGCACTCAGGCCACCCTGCTCAGGCACCGCTAGGAGACGGGGACGCCCGGACGGTGGCGCGGACTATCATTGGCAAAGCTCCAGTCCGCTGACATCAGGCTGGGTCCCCCGCCAACGAAGGCCATTTGCATCCTCAGCCCTCCACCGGGTGGCTTTGAGCCGCAGCCGTGTTGTAGGCGGGAAAGCGGACGGAAGCGAGCTGAGAGGACGCCGGGGCGCCGGGCTGCACCTGCCGATCCTCCGCTCGCCGGTTCCCTGCTCCAGGGCTGGACTAGCGTGGGTCAAGCGAGGCGCTGGCCCCGGGGGCGTCGGAAAACACGTAAAGAATATTCTAATACAATGTCTGAGAAAACTGAAACGAATGCAAAAAAATTCACAGTGAACAAAGTTTACAGCAGGGCTGTTAGTGACTTTCCCCTGTGCCTCGGGCTCCTCTGTGGCCGAGTGGGGGCGCTGTTTCCCGGTCTCCGCCCCGCCCGCCGCTCGCCTCCGGGAGCTGCCCCGCTCCGCAGTGCGCTCCTTGCGGCGGCCGCAGACAGGAAGTCCCCCCTGACGCCCGGAAGCGCTGTGGGAACGGCTGGGGCTGGGATGTCCGCGCCCCCGGCGCCGGCAGGGGAGCTGCACGCTGGTGGTCCGGGTCCGGGACGTTCCGTCCCTCGAGGGCCCCGGAAGTAAAGGCGCAGCTCCACAGGGGACTGGTCATGGCGGGTGACGACGGAAGTCCCAAAGGACGGGCCGTGCAGGGGCGAGGAGCCCAGGTGCGCCTCCCGCCCAGAGCCGGGGCCCTACTCGGCAGGCGCCAGTGCCGCTGGGTTTCTTCGGGTGTCCCGGCAACGAGGAAGCGGAGGGGAGGCGGGCCTGCGCCGGGCACCGGGCGGTAAAGCGGAAAGCTGCCCAGAGGCTGTGGGTGGCGCCGGGAGCAGCAGCTGGAGCAGGTGTCAGGGCTTCGCAGAGACGCCCCACAGGAAGGTCCCCACCCCACCGAAGGGCGCCCCGCACGGGCGCAGGGGGCTGCTCTCTCCAGCGCTGGTCTGCAGGGCACCTACTCAGGCCAGAGGTCCTGTGCGCTGGCTCCGAAGGGCCCCACCCCCGGCCCTCACCAGCTCAGGGGCAGGCAGCACATGGGGCGAGTGGAGGGACAGGGAGCCCCTGGAGGAGGGCACCCAACCCAAGCCCAGTCAGGCGCTGTGAGGGTAGAGATGGGTGCTTTGTGAGGCCCAACGACTTAATAGAATAAAACTCCGTATTTTCGGTTAAGATGCCGCTGCTTTAAAACCTGGCTTCAACCTTGGGTTGCAGTTAACTTGTTCTCTCTCTAAGTTACAGGTATCGTTCCCACTGCATCCTGCTGTCTAAGACGAGGCCATCCGTCAGTAAGGGCCCCTGGGCCAGACTTCAGGATGGCCACCTGGGCTCTCACAAACACCTGTAGAGCCTCTTAAGATCACCTGACAGCCAGGGACTCACAGGAAACATTCCTTTCTTAATTACCCATCATGGTATCTAAGGAGCTCTGGTGGCGTAGTGCCTAAGGCATTTGACTGCTAACCAGAAGGCTGGAGGTTCAAACCCACAGCCACTCCTCGGAAGGGCGGTTGGGCAATCTACTTCCGTAGTGATACTGCCTCGGAAACCCAAGGAGGGGTCGCTATGAATCGGGTCCAACTCCTCGGCACATAACAACAACAACAACGTCGTATCTAACGTTTGGGAAATCATTATCCAGCCCTGCATATGTGCTGTGTCTTTTCCTTTAGTATAAGAACCTGTGATTGAAAGCGCTCAGCCGAGCGGGTGTTTCTGGAGGTGCCAAGACCCCATCCCTGTCGTCGGTGCACCGCCCAGTTAAATGCTCTTCTTCCCCTTAAACTCTGGGGTGGACTATTGGGGGTGCTGCTTCAGGGCCGGGCCCTAGCATTTTTCAGATTACAGCATGTTTTGGTCACCTAGTACCCCTCTGACAGGAATGTACCACAAATAGGATGGCTTTAACAGACAAGAGTTTATTCTCTTACACTTTTGGAGGCCAGAAGTCTGAGTTCAAAGAGCCAGGCTCTAGGGGCTGTGTGAAAGCCCCTCAACCTTGGGCTTCAGCTCTGCCTCTGGCAGCCGGCCCAGTGAGGCTGGAGGCTTTTCTTCACTCAGCTGCTGGCTGCTGAGGCCAACAAACCCAAGCTTGACAAGTAAAAAGACACAGTCCCGATGTTACCAATCCATGTGGCAGGCCATTGATTCAAATCCATTAAAAGCCCCAAGATCTGCAGAGTACGGCAGGCTACTGAATGAACACTCGGCTACACGCAGGGTTCAAACGTGCCAAAAAGCTGGAGTTCTTCCTCAGAGCTGCTCATAGACGGAAAGCAGCCCTCATCCCGAAAGCAACTACTGAGCTGCTCCAGTAGATTCCACCACGGAGCTGATTGCCAGTCTCACCATGGGGAATAACTACATCCAGCTGCCCAGCCACTCAGCCAGGCCCAGCCAAGTTGACAACAGCCTTAACTATCACACAGCGCCATTATGAATGCTATTCAGTATTTCCTTTTCTGTGGCCATAAGGCACAGCCCCACCTTTTCCCAGAATCTGTCCATGATCCCAAAGTGCTCAAGTAAATGGCAACCCAGCAAGCCTCATTCGCAGAAAGCAAACCCGTTGCAATGCAGTAGATTCCAACTCTTAGGGACACTAGAGAACAGAGTAGAACGGGCCCACACGGCCCACAGGGTTTCCAAGGCCATAATCTTTACAGAAGCACACTGCCACATCTTTCGCCCATGGAGTGGCTGGTAGGTTCGAACCAACAACCTTTCAGTTAGCAGCCTAGGGCTTAACCACTACCTCATCAGGGTCCTTACCCTTGTTCCCAAGGGGATGGCACTGGCCTTGCTATCCCAGGGGAAGCAGAGCAACAAGAGGCTGACCTCCAGTCCTCCTTCCCCATGGTTACCACAGGCGCTGTCCACCGTGCCAGGTCTGCTACCAGCTCCTGCCCAGGGCACAATGTGTTGCAGGGTGGACAGGGTACCCACACGGCGGGCAGACGCCCCAGCCGCCCAAGGACCCCCCTGCTGGGATTCCTGTCTTTGTGTGATCCCTGCCCGGCTGGACTGGGGAGTTACTTCCCACCAGGATGGCAAAGGTGGTGGCAGGTCACTCCAGAGATTGAGTCCCAAAAGATGATGACTTCATCTTTTTGGCGTTCTCTTATTGCCTCTTGAGCTCGCGCACTTTAATTAAGAGGCCAGCTTGAAGTAGATTGCCTCGTCTTCCCTCTGTGGAGCAGCTGGCGGTTTGAACCGCTGACCTCGTTGGCCACCACATGTCTCACCTACTGTGGTAGCAGAGCTCCTTGTAGTTAAAGCACGTTGTTGTTGTTAGATGCCATCGAGTCATCTCCGACTCATAGCGACTCTGTGCACAGCAGAACAAAACACTGCCTGGTCCTGTGCCAGCCTTCAGAAGAAGGAGGAGGCCATGCACTCCTCAAATTGGCCAGTGAAAACCTTATGAATAGTTAACGGCATACATAGCACTTGCCAAAATATTTCGCAGGGGGAGGGGTGAGTTCATGGTATTTGTGTCAAAATATGGTCCTTCCCCACTGCTGTCACAAATCATTCCCAAACATGGTTGTTTAGCCGGTGTACAGTTATCATCTCATGTTTCAGAGGCTCAGGGATCTGGGCACCCTTAGCTAGGCCCCCTGCTCCCTGGTCTCTCCCAGGGCCCAGCTGCCTGTCACCTGGAAGCTGAAGGATCGACTGCCCTGTTTGTGTGGTGTCACAGGACTCCTCATAGGCCGTGGGACTGCACACCTCCGTTATTCGCTCGTCGTCGACCAGAGGCCAGCCTCAGTTCCTTGCCACGTGGTGCAGGACCAGGCCCTTGTTTCATTTTATTCTACATGGGGTCCCTCTGAGTCGGAGATGACTCGTCAGCACCTAACAACAAAAACACTATTATTATATCTGTCACTGTAAGAAATGAGCATGGCACATGTAGAAGAATACCTCAAAGGGAGGGCATGATTGGCAAAAAAACAGAAGGCTTGTTGTTGTTGTTGTTGTTGTTAG